CACTTTTTACTAAAAATGACAAAAATATTCACCAAAATTAGAGAATTGAAGATATCATCATGAAATGAACAAATCTGAGAGAGGTCCACATGTAGTACCTATATATGTAATATCAAAGCAATTGCACTTGCGGTTTTCAACAAGAAGTCGAAAATATCACTTTTTACTAAAAATGACAAAAATATTCACCAAAATTAGAGAATTGAAGATATCAACATGAAATGAACAAATCTAAGAGAGGTCTACCCAAGGTACATATACACCAAGTATCAAAGCATTCAGGCTTGTAGTTTTCAAGAAGAAGTCGAAAAAGTAAAACATTGACACGGACGACGACGACGGACAATCACTCATATGATAAGCTCCGCTCGACAAAGTCGACAGCGGAGCTAAAAACGCAGAGTTAAGCGGTCATGTACGTTCTATAAAGCTAACCTTGTACTGACGCGTTTTTTGTTTCTTTGCGTTCATGGTATTTGTGAGAGTTGAAAGATTTTTTGAACACATGACAAGTAACTATATTGATTTGCGTCGAGCTGGATGGCCTGAATTTTAATATCAGTGCGTGAACTCTGCAGGTCATTGCCCAATGCCGCAAGTAATTCAAACGCGTGGTTATTAGAGTTTAGTCAAAATGTACGTGAATATTGCGATCGAAGTGCGAGTTTATTATATTATAGTAAAATTTAATTTGATTCATGGTATGGTTTATATTACATGTTCACTTCATTTCGAATAAAAAAAATCACCATTGGAACATCAATGAATCGAAGTATTTAAAATATTTTCTCAACTTTCCGTAGATACCCGACTACTATCATTTTTAATGATTTAAATGCGCCCATGTTTTATTCGTGGGTGGGTAAAAAATGAAAAGTAAATTTGTTTTCAAGTTGACCAAGAGGCGGTACTGAACAGAAAAACATGCGAAAGTGTCCGACAATGATGACATCGATAAAGCTGTTTACGTTTCTTCAAGAACGGTCTGCCGGAACTCCACTATCTGGTCCCATCACCCAATGCAAAGCATACAACTCAGATATGACGACTTTGAATTTAAGGCCAGTTCAGGGTGGTTCTTGCGATGGCAAAGAAGACACGCTATCGACACACGCAGTCTCAATCCAAGGCGAAGCTCGATCTGGGAACATTGACGCTGTCGGAACTTTTCCCGAAAAACTGAGAGAAATTATCTATGAAGGTGGTTATTTTGACGAACGTTTATAATTGCGATGAAACTGGTTTATTTTGGAAGCTGTTACCGTCGAAGTCGCAAGCAACAGCAAGTGGCCCACATAATATCGGACACAAACAAAATAAACAATGCAATGTTTACACCAAACATAATCATGATTTTATTCGAATACTGCCTGACACATGTGCAGATACATCAATTAACTAAACCGAGGGTTTATATGTGCTTTTTATATGTTTTTCAATGCACGACCTTCCTCTTTCACGACGTCCCTCGGTAAGTCGCGGCCCTCGATAAGTCACGGTTTTTGCTTGGATCCCGACACCCACGACTTAGCGAGGGGCCACTGTATATCAAATTGATGACGCTGATCACTCAGTTGTCGCAGCGTGTGTTGTGTCATGTCCATGATGCACCCCACCCGAGCGATCTTTTGATCCACATTTTTCTAAAAAAAAATTGAATGTCCCATAAGATCGCCCAGGGCGGGGTATCAGCCAAATTCGGTAATTACAGATTACAGCCACAACGGAAATTCTCAATTCTCCCAAATGTTTCTGATGAAACACAGCTGGTCACTCGAAAGCTTGTGGGGAGGTGGGAGTGTTCCACTGATTTTCTGGTAGGTATGATTATGTTAACTTCTTGTTTACTACATCGCCTACCAGAAAATCTGTGGAAATGATAAATTTCATTGTAAAATTTGCACCATTAACAACCAAATATGGCCAAAAAGTTTCAAGCAAAATGGCTCACACCTGTTAGGAAACTTGGAGCTAGTTGTAAAATACCTACACAAATCTTGAAGCCATCTCCTTTTTCTGTTGCACTATCATCTGTGCAACAATCAGTTGTTTCTGTGAATCTATGCTCATTGCATTGTGACAAATATCTATTTGTGCAAGATCCCGAGGCACACGAGACTGGCATGAGGACTATTGCTTTTTACCATCATTCATCAATATAAACAAATCTACTAGTTTCACATGCTCAATACATCCCACAAAACTGTTACATCTATCTTGACAACAAGATTTGGTAATATCAGAAAACACAAAGGAGTATAATCAAAGCACTTCATAAGCAGAACTGGCAGTGAGTTCTCATCATTTATGTTACCAAATCAATAGTTTCAAACAGATACACAAGGACAAAACAGCCCAAGAATATTTAGCTAAGTTGTATAATGCATGGTAAAGGCTCCCCTTAACTAAACTATATTATAGAAAAAGTAACTTGAATATGGAAGTCACTATCCCCTTCAAACCAAATTACTTGCATGCAACACACATTTTGGGGTCTTAATAAATTAGACATTAGTTATAATTTTTTTTTTTGAAATCTGGCCATATGTTACATCATGTCATAAGCATAATGCTTATCATATTACCTGTCTCTCTGCCACGGTCTTCTGTGAAGTCTGCTTTTCGTTCATTGGCTTCTTCTCCATCCCCAACGCTACTTGGGACTTTCTGTTCTTCTTGACCTTCCATAGGTTCATCTTTTTTTTCAACTTCGTCGGTACTTTTTTCTTCTTGTCCTGTCTGTTCTTGTTCTTTTGGCTGCTCCACATGTTCCTGGGGCGTCTGTTCAGTTGGCTGTTCTTCCATAGGTTGTTCTTCCACAGGCTGTTCTTTATCTGCCGGTTTGGATTCTTCGGGTTCTGCCACATCGGCAGTCGGCACTTCGGCATCAGTCGTTTTCGATGGCTCTTCTGCTTCAACTACAGATTCAGGTTCTTGTGTCACTTGTAATTCCGGAGTGGGTTCAATAACTGGTTCTGCTGCTATCTCTGGTTCGGGTTCTATTTCTTTAACTGGTTCTGGCTGTATTTCCGGGACGGTTGGTTCTGGCTGTGCCACCTCCATTTCAATCGCAGGCGTGGGATCAGATTCTGTCTGTTCATCTGTAGCCTCGATTTGAGGTTGCGCAGATTGACTCGGTAACGCGTCGGTTTTTTCCGGTTCTACGCTAGGAGTAATATCATCATCATCATGTGATGTATCCAAATCAGCACTATCTACCGGGGGTACTTGCTCGCCTTCGCTCTCTTCGGCATTTTCTTCCTCCAATGCTTCGGTCAATCGTTGAATCAGGACTGCTTTGTTTCCTTTTGCTTCGAGGCCACGCTGTTGTAGTTCAGCGCGGAGCTCGACAACCTTCAGCTTCTTAGGATCTATGTCACTCATGGTTCCTAAATATAATGGACGAAACCACTCTTGTGGGCGTTGTACGTTGAAATTTATCTCCCAGTCTTTGCATGCAGCTCTAGAAAATCAATTTTAAACGAAACAAATTTGACCAGAAATTACACACGCATTGCAGTCAAAATGGCCGGTGTGCGAAAAGATCGCTTCCCCTGAATACCCCCAGCAACGCTATGTATGGCCTGTCTATACCAAGCTGTGATTGGCTGATTCGTTCAGCAGCGTATTTCAAATCAAATGCTTTTTTCTTAAATTTTCAGGCAACATTCGAAAATAAAATCATCCAGCACTGAAAACTAAAACTGATTACATTTGGTTATGTTTAATTAATAACAAATAGCAATAATCTCGCGCATGAGAAAAGCAAGTTCATTTAAATGTTTTCAGAAATTGGCCAATCACATACACTGTTTCTTATGCAGTTTACAAAAGGCCTGAGAAAGTATAATTCGCTCAGCCATTCGCGGGTCGAAGCTTATGCGCATATTCGCTCTGCGCATTGGTGTTGGCAACCTTTCGTAAACAATCATGGCGGCGCCCGCGGACGAAAAAGAGAGCGCAGGTATTGTTTATAATTCTCGTCACTCCGACCCGAGACGATCAAAATA